TCGCCGGCTTCTGGACGGCCGCTCACTGCGGCTGCTGGCCGCTCACGCTGGCTGCTGGCTACACACGGTAGCCCATGGCAGCCCACTGCAGCAGGGGACTGCAGCCTACGCCGTCCCTGGTGACTCTCAGCAGCCCAGCTCCAGGTTGAGCTGTTGTTCGGCATCTTAGCTGTAGAGAGCAGTGTCACTGGCCCTCATATGTGGGATCCAAACTGGGGCCCTCTGGCGTCCCAAGCCAGTTCTTAACCAATGCACCACTCGGCCAGCCCAAATTTTTATATCTTAATTGGGGTGTGTTTACGTTGGCATAAATGTTTATTAAAAGTCATTTACCTATACCCTTACAATGTGTGGATTTTATTGTATGTAAATTATACCTCACTAAAACTTGTTTTTTTCTTTTTTTAAATCAAAGCAAAGCACTTGTTTTTAATAGCTAGAAATTTATACTTCATTCCAAGGCTTTTTTCCCCCTTTAATAGTTAAGTTGATGTGCCTATGTTTCAGTGTCTTCAAAGTATATAGTTAGCTTGATTTCCCCCCACCAGAGTTTATCTCTTCCTTAATACATAGTGCTGAGGAGCCACCCAGAGGGGAGAGGTTAATTGTGCTGAGAATCCAGGAAAGCTTCACTGTGATGTCACTTCAGGTGGGTCTTAATTCCCCTGATGATTCATAAGCTTCTTGAAGGCAGGAAAAGGTGACTCATCCTCGGGTTCTCGACACTGCGCTTTGCACATCAGGCACATAGCTGCATTGGAGAATTGTTGATTTGAATGGTTTTTAGTCACACTAACTATTAAAATGTTCTGTTTGTTGTTCAGAAGTAAGATTGAAGTAGATTGTTTATGAAATGACCTTAAGTTCTAAAGAATTATTAGTAAGCCTTTAGCAAATGCCTCCCTTGTGCCAGGAGCGAAAGTTGTTGACAATTTCTTAGTGATGAAGCAAAACCCTTTCTCTTCTGAATGCCATGGTGTCAGTCAGTCTGATTGATTCCAGAGCTTACCTTCTCTGCCTGAATCACACATATCCTTAAGAACTGACATCTGCAGAGCTGAGGGCTTATTTTTGTTTGCTTATTTTGTGGTATTTTTAAGTCTTCAGAAAAATGCTATTTCAACAGTCAACTGAGCATCACAGTGTATCAGATCATTTTTATCATTAGCTTAATGTTTCTATTTTGATTGAATTTTAATTCTGATTTTATGATATAGTACTTTATTAATATTGTTGGCTATTAGATTTTTCTAATTTTTTCTTTTCATATTTTAGATGATTAAAGCTTCATTAAGTCATTTCTAAATATCCATATGCGTTTAGTCCTCTCTCTTAAACATAGTTGCAGGCCTCAGAGACTTACAGCTCTAACACCGATTCAGTTTTATTTACTATAAATAACCCTTCTAGAGGAAAGCTTGTAATTTCCAAAGTTACTTGGTATATAGCCTTCAAGCAAGAAATTTCCAGCCATTTTGCCTTTAGAGATTTTAAGTCTACTAATCATTTTCGCCAAGGATTTTGAAATATAAGAAAATTAAATTCTTGTTTTTCATATTTTAGGGTAACACCTGCCTGGAGAATGGATCTTTCCTGCTGAACTTTACAGGATGTGCAGTGTGCAGTAAGCGGGATTTTATGCTGATCACAAACAAATCTTTGAAAGAGGAAGATGGAGAAGAAATAGTTACCTATGATCGTAAGTAGACCTTTTCTTTTCATGCAAATCTGTTAGCAGATATTGGCTTTTGGTAGTTGATACGTTGTGCAAAGTATTAGGAGGCCTATTTCAATATTGTATTGCAACACATAGTTGCTAGTTAGGTTTTGTTTTGTTTTGTTTTGTTTTTTAAAGATTTTATTGGGGAATTGGGGGAGGGGAACAGACAAGTTGCTGTCCTTTTGTTCTTCAGTCTAGGTGTGGAGGACGTCGCTTCACTGGTCCATGTTGGTATTATCATTGTGCTCTTCCCGGACGAGGCAGATTGGTCGCTGGCCTCTGGACGGCAGCTCTTGGCAGCTCACACCGGCTGCAGGCCGCTCACGCTGGCTGCCAGCCACACATGGTAGCTTATGGCAACCCACTGCAGCTTCACTGCAGCCTACACCATCACCGGCGACTCATGGCAGCCCAGCTCCAGGTCGAGCTGTTGTTCACTATCTTAGCTGTAGAGGGCAGTGTCACTGGCCCCATGTGGGATCTGAACTGGGGCCCTGCTGCTCAGAGCTGGCGTCCCAAACCAGCTCTTAACCAACGCGCCACTTGACTGGCCCGCTAGTTAGGTTTTTAAGAGGAAATTACACCTCACTTATCTAGCACTTCTTGGATGTCCAACAGCTATTAAAGCATTTACGGCTGTGTGCCTCTATACTAAATGGCCCTGGATGCTATCATTTTTTTCTGCTTTCTTACTAGTTTTTTTTTTAGCTGAGCCATCCTGCCACCTTTTGGCAGCTCAGCGGCAACTCAGCTCAGGCTAGGCATCAAACCGCTGTTGCTCAGAGCTCGTACTCTTGAGTGAGCTCTTAACCAACTGAGCCACTCGGCCGGCCCTCATAGCTTTTTTTTGGTCTTCTAGCTCACTGTTAGGCTGTTGTTTCTTTTGTTATGTAAATATGCTACCTTCATATGTGGCTCTTCATCCTCAATACTGGAAAACCAAACAAATAAACTAAGTATAATAAAAAAATCAATTCTGAGGTTGGCATTAAGAATTTCTATGAGTAGATTAAGTATATGTACACTTCAGTGCCCACATATTGTGACAAGTATTTAGACTGTCCACATCCCCTTTTGGCTTGTCTCCTGGTTCTTTGGTACACCCTGAATGTATGAGGAATGAATATGCAAATAATGATATTTTGGTTTGTTTTTTTTAAAAGATTTTTTAATTGGGGAATTGAGGGGAGGGTAACAGCTTTGGGGAATCGGGGAAGGGGAACAGACAGGTAGACAAATTACTGTTTTGTTCTTCAGTCTAGTTGTGGAGGACGTCGCTTCACTGGCCCATGTTGGTATGATTATTGTGCTCTTCCCGGGTGAGGCAATCGGTTGCCGGTTGTTGGTCGGCTGCTCCCAGCGGCTCCCAGTAGCTCACACTGGCTACCAGCTGCTCACGCTGGCTGCCAGCCACTTACGGCAACCCCACTGCAGCCTGTGCCATCGCCGGCGACTCACAGCAGCCCAGCTCCAGGTCGAGCTGTTGTTCATCATCTTAGCTGTAGAGGGCGAGCGTCACTGGTCCTCAATGTGGGATCCGAACCGCAGCCCTGCTCCTCAAGCTGGTACTCCCAAGCGAGCTCTTAACCATCTGAGCCACTTGGCCAGGCCAAATAATTATATTTTACAAGAGGGGTTTGAGAGACACTAAGCCTTTACAATAGTCAGACTATCAAAAAATGTTGTAAATTAGAAGAATCTTTTCCTTTCTTTTAGATATAACTCTTTAAACTCTGTTTCGCTCCAGGTAGTAGGTCATAGTGGTTAAGAGCAAGGGCTCTGGAGCCAGAATGCCTGGGTTTGAATTCTGATTCCAACACTTCCTAACTCGTTAGTCTTCCTAGTAACTTAACCACAGTGTATGTATGTTTCCTTATCCCTAAAAAAGTGATAACAACTGTATCAACCTCTTTGAGTTTTTGAGAAGATTAAGTGAATAAACATAAAAAGTATTTAAAACAGTATCTGACACTCTGTAAACACTCAATACATCATAGTTATTATCATATTTTTTTTTTTTTAAGATTTTTATTGGGGAATTGGGGGGAGGGGAACAGACAAGTTGCTGTCGTTTTGTTCTTCAGTCTAGTTGTGGAGGACATTGCTTCACTGGCCCAAGTTGGCACCATCATTGCGCTCCTCCCGGGTGAGGCAGATCAGTCGCCGGCTTCTGGACGGCTGCTCACTGCGGCTGCTGGCCGCTCACGCTGGCTGCTGGCTACACATGGTAGCCCATGGAAACCCACTGCCACAGGGGCTGCAGCCTACCCTGACGCCTCACGGCAGCCCAGCTCCAGGTTGAGCTGTTGTTCAGCATCTTAGCTGTAGAGGGCAGTGTCACTGGCCCTCATCTGTGGGATCCGAACCGGGGCCTTCTGGCGTCCCAAGCCAGTTCTTAACCATTGCACCACTCGGCCGGCCCTATAATATTGTTTTTACTGGAGTCTTTCGTTACCATTAAATTCACTTTAATGTCTAGCATTAGTTATTTATTTATGATTGGTTATAGCAGCACAGTTTCTATCATTTCTGAGAATACAAGGTTTTACATAGTTAGACAGGTCCAGCTAGTATAAGAAACTTACTTATCTGTTAATTGGTTACCTTAGAGAGCTTTCAGAGGGAATTAATATATGCACATTAAGGCTCTGAGCTCAGGCCCTTAATTTATGTAGCATTGCTATGTGACAGATTCTGGATTTCTTATCAAGGTAGATGTTATAATAGGTTTCCTGCTGTATTAAATATGACAGTTATGGTTCTTTTAAAGTAATACTATGCTGAGAATAGAAATTTTACTGTTCTTAAGACACCTTCCAAAACTTAATCATTTAAGTCTCTCTCTGTTTCTGCAGATCTGTGTAAGAATTGTCATCACGTAGTAGCCAGGCATGAGTATACATTCAGCATCATGGATGAATTTCAGGTAAATGTATTAATATGCTATTGTGTGTGGAGGGAAGATAATAAAAGTAACGTTGAAAATCTAGATATAGTTTTCTTTTTTTATATATATATAGTTTTCATAAATGAAGTACTAGTGAATATTAAAGGAGACCAGCCTCTCTTCTACCTGTGTAAGTTGAGAGAGACACTTTAGATATGGGTGGATCTGTTCAAACCTGTCTTCCTAAGAGTCGGAAATCAGGCTGTCTGCCTTACAAATGATACCTCAATCCTGTCATTTTTGTTTATAAAAAACAGTACATTATAGCTTCTTATAAGATTACTACTGTGCCTCTTTTTTCTCTGCTAGTTATGTGAGTGCACAGTTGTTGGCTTTAAGTGTTGGCCTGCCTACTGCCACCATACTTGCTCGGCATGGAAATTGTGATGAGGGAGGTTATCTTTGTTTTCCCTGGTAGACATGCAGCGTTGAGCATCTCTGTAGTCTCAGTTGTGGGAAGACATTTTAATATTGTTTGTTAAGTAAAATGACAAAATGGATGTGCCTAGGTTGGAGGAGAGAAGCTGAACCACTATAATGGTGTAGAATAGGGATTTATTATAAGGACTAGTCCTTGCACAACTGTGAGAGCGTGTGAAGAATCTACAGGCTGAAGAATCACAGGTCTAATGGTCAGGAAACCAAGCTGGACAGTGTGGGAGAGCCAGGGACCAACTGGAAACCACGAGGACACACTTGAACCTACATCTGCCCTCACTGCCTCCATTTTCAGATTGAGTTACTAATTTAGTGTGAACTATGTGTTCATCCATAGGATATAAATATTAGGTTAGAGCTTTTAATAGGCAAAGGAATTTTTTTTAATCCTTCAAATTTGGGTAGTAGTAAAATTAGGAAAAATAAAATCTTCCATAATGGAATCTGGTAAAATAGTATAACCACTCTAACACATTCTTACTTTAACATGGAAAAAAGCACTTAGTCACTTGTCAGAATCTTGTCTAATATGTGGTTAACCTAAACATCATCTTGACCACATCTCCTCAGCATCCAAAAATTATGCCTCAAAAAAAAAATGTATATATCTATGTAACTTGGGGCAAAATTGAGATCTTAACGAATGAGTAGTGGCCAAATAGGGGATGAGCATGTCATGGATTTAAAGGAGCAGCGCTCTCCTTTCATGGAGAAAAGGTGCTTACAGCTACTTTCCAGAAGCCCCCCGAGAGCTACTTACAGAGTCCTGAACTTGAGATTGCTATGTATGCCAGAATTGAGCCCTTGTATGTTACCGCCATGAGACCAGAAGTCTAGCTGATTTTCCTTTATGACTGAACACAGCCATGTTTCCAAGCTGCCCTCTGGGGTAGGAGGAAGGTAAAGGAAGATGGCGTGTCTTCACAATTCCTAGGTGGTGTGAAATTCTCTTAAAAAAAACTCTCGAACTTGATTCTCTAACTCTTCTCTCTCCCAGCATTCACTTTCCCCACCCATATTCTATCTTCTGCCATCAGATTATTATTTTTTTTAATGGTGCTTTAATGGCCTTACCGAAGCTCACCTTTAGCTGTAGTATAATATCCAAGCTTCTCATTCCAAGGCTCTCGCTGGGCTGGCCCCACTTCCTTTTCTCTTATTTCCCATCGCTCCTTATCTACACCACACGCACCATGGACTTGAGACTTTCTCCTCTCATAGAGGGAGATTTTTATTCCCTTCTCTCTAATGCTTACCCCTACCGCATTTCCTCAGGAACCTCATATGCTCCTTCTAGCACCTTCTAGCACTGTTTAAATCCATGGGATTTAAAACAATTTATATGAAATATACTTAGTTCTTCTTTGTTTGTTAAAAATAAATTAAAATCTTTTCATTTCACTTATTACCTCTTTGGTTCATCCTCTAATCTCTTTGCTTCCCTTTGCTTCCTTATTTGAATAGGTCTTTACCCTATCTCCCTTATTTCCCTGTGCGCCTCTTAACCATCTACAGACTGGGTTTCATCTGCACTTGCCTAAAACTATCCTCTCATAGGTTTCCTCTAATGTAGCCAAATCCTTTGCCTCAGTTCTTATTTCTCTTAACATCTCTTCTGGTTCCAGTTTTGTTAACCACTGTTGTCTTTGTGAAGCATTTCTTCCCTTGAGGTCTATAGTACTAGACTTTTTTTTTTTTAATCATTTCAACTGCACCTTTGCTTTCCCCCTGGTTTCCTTTCTTATTTTCCTTAGCTGATTTTCCTCTGAGCTTTGGTCCCTAGTCTGGAACCTTCTCTGTACTCCCCTAGATAGTGAGCACATGCTCACTCAGTCTCAGTTGAAACCTATTAGATACCTTTCAGATGTCCTTCTCTAAGCCTGACACTCTACCTGCCCTCTTTTCTTCCTTTGTTTCTCCTGCTTATTTTTGGCTCCACTGCCACACCTTGTGTCAAGGACCATATCCACTCAAACCTAACTTACTGCAGCAGCCTGCAAACTACCGTATTTCCCCATGTATAAGACACACCCTTTATCGAAAAATTTGGGGTCTAAAAACTGGGTGCATCTTACACAGTGGTTGTAGATGGTTGTCAAGTCATTTAAGAAGTGTGACATTTCAAATGCCATAGATGGAACTGAGGACGGGGCAATATATGAAGACAGTGATTCGTCATCAGACACAGATGAGGACAAGCTAATGGTTGGGAGTTTGACAGTGATGAGGAGTTGTATGAATTTTATGATGAATAAAACTTGAGTTCAATAACTTTATGTAATACATTTTTTTTTTCAAATTTCGGGCCCCAAAATTAAGGTGTATCTTATACATGGGAGCATCTTATACATGGGGAAATACGGTAGTTCTACACAGGGCCCTCAACTACGCTTCCCTTCAATAACCCATCCTGTTACTTCTCTGCTACTCCATATGAGACATGCTTGCTCTTTTCCACATTGCTGTCCGTATTCATGCTTCCCCTGGACTCCTCCCTTTCTCTGCCTTCAAACCAACCAAGTCCTACCTCTTTGAAGCTGAACTTAAATTCTGTCTCCCTCTTGGTCTTGATAGTTCAGCCCATATTGCTTTGTCCCTTTTCTGAGCTCTTCTTATACCTACAGCGGGCCCTGACTCCTGCGAATAGCCACTTGGGAACTTCCGTCTCAGCCTGATGCCCACGAGAGTGCTGCATTCTCAGCCGCTATGACTGAGTTCCCTCATCCTTACCCTATTCCAGCCCCCATTTCACTCCAGTAGTAGTTCAGGTTTCAAGGTGGGATTCCTACCATTGGTAATGTTTTGTTTTCAATGTCTTATAGGAAATTTAAACATAATCAAAAATAGGCAGAATAGTGTATTAACCTCTACTACCCAGCTTCAATTTGCTTTATTTACCTCACCATTCCCACATCTCTCGACAGGATTATTTTGAAACAAATCCCAAACATAACACTATTTCTGTAAATATTTCAGTATCTCTAAAAAATAAGGCTTCTGTTTTTAAAACAGCCACAATCCCGTTATTAAACAAAGTAGGATTTTCAGATGGCAGTGCTCTTGAGGGGAAGTAGAGACAGAGGTGCAGAACTTCAATGAAAAATACGTTAGAAACGATTACAGCATCCTTTAGTTTTTATATCACCCTAAAAGCTATTAAAAGTACTATCTGTTTGCCTCAGGAAATAAAAAGGGAGCTGTGAGGCTGTTTCCTGTTCCTCTGTGGACCAGGGAAGGAGAAGACTTGGGGTCAGAATTAACAGATAGTGATAGAGGAAAAGGGCCATGGGGCTTTCAGAATTAAAAAAAAGACCTGGTTTTACCCAAAGGTGATGCCCCCACTCTACCTTTTCTTCTAAATCTGTGCCCTCAGGCTTTGCCCAGGTGGAGCCTTTGACGGTCTCCAAGAATGTCTGGGGGCAGTTCTTATTCTCCCAAATTTACCCAAATTGGTAAAAGATGTCCTAATCCCACCACATTCCTGGCAGCGCAGGGAGATATGTTCCTGGTGTCCTAAGGTAGAATTCTAGACATTTTTTCCCACAGAAGCACTGCTCTATATGGTTAGATCCTATAGTACTTGTATAATGTAAATTTAAGACTCCCTGGATTTCCCTGGGAACCGAACTGTTGAGTACCAGATTACTAATGTGGGAAGCTGCTTTTGCATTCCAAACAGTTGACCTACAATGAAATTTGGATTCCAGACAGCCTATAAATAAATTAAAGATTACAGGTGTAATCAGTCTTACTGATTTAATAATCTTTCCAGATTATACCACATACTAGGTTTTTTTCTTTCTCCCAAGTTAGATTGGAAATTTTTCAAGGTCAGACCTTATCCTTGCCTTCTCTCATGTCTACCAGTGCACCTAGCACATTGCAGAGCATTTAGGCATTGCAAAAACTTGTCAATGGGTATATTGATTGGTCGAAAACTCAGATACTTGTCTCGCTTCACGCATTTCCCCATTATTACTTTTCTTTTCTTCATTTTCAGAGAGAGGTTGACATCCTACTAGTGATGTCTGGTGGATGAAAGCAGAAGTGTTTGAGAGCAGTAAAAGACCTTGGAGAGAGGAAATTTTTGCTTTATTTTTAATTCATGAGAACTGTATTTGTTTGCAGAGCTCTAGGCTCTATTTATTTCTACTTTGTGTAGAGTAGATTTTAAAATTAAGTGTTGTCTTCAAGAAACAATCTTTCCACCACCACAACTAAGCTCCCCTGCTGAACTCACTAGAAGGAGCTGGAAGGGCAGTTGCCTGGTTCTGAGTCTGTACTGCAGTCATTGTTTATCTCTGTGATCCTCTCGGTAGTGACTGTCCAGACCTATGAAACACAAACTGCCTTGACTGGTCATTTTCGAGGCAGCTAACAATCTGTCAGGTGTGGAAATACTAATAGATTTAACATAGATGTTTGTTTTCCTAAATAAGATAAAAGGTTCTTAAGTGAAAGGTCTAAAAAAAATGTTTCTGTAGTTTATGACCATATTAAATATTCCAGGAAGGGGTAGCTATAAAAATAGGATTTTGCCCTAAGGATTTTTACTTAAAACAGAATCCCTTCTGTCATCAGTCTGGACATTAGTTAAGCCCAAGAAACGTAAAACTCCTTAAATAGATAAAATTCCAGACAACTATTAATCTAAATAAGAGGCATGCATAACATACTAATGGATTTAACATAATTGTTTATTTTCCTGGGGTAGATAAAAATAGCTTTTCTGGGTTAGGAATTTTCTCCTTTTTTTGTTGTTTTAAAAATCACTCCTGTTGCATATTAGTGCTAAATACCCTAAAAAGGAACAGCTCTAAGAATAGGAATTTGTTCTTAGGAGCCCACACTCAGATTGCTCCATTACTTTAATCAGCAGCATTAACTAAGTCCAATATGTGTGTTTTTTAAGTCCAAGAAATGGCCATGCATTTCCAAGATGATATTTTGTATACATAGTAAATAGAGCATCAGCATGTATTCAGTTTATATAAACAAAAGGCTCTGGGATAGACAGAACAAACCTAAGACATTGCTTACAGGTATTGAAGAAATTGGTCTAATGTACAGAAAGAATACCCATGATAATGTGGAGAACAGCTTTACCTGAGTAAGTTAGGAAGCACCTTTCTTCCTATTCCTCAAGGTAATCGTGCACTTTATCTTGTTCTAGGAGTATACCATGCTGTGTCTGTTATGCGGCAAAGCTGAAGATACTATCAGCATTCTCCCTGATGACCCCCGACAAATGGCTCTGTTATTATAACGATTTTTCTGCAGTTCTGCTGTCACTATGTTGTGTTGGTTCATAATACAGCAAGCCTAAGGGTGTGTCTTACTTAGTTTATAGTGAAAATTATTTGCATTTTTCTCTGCTTAGATTTACTTATGCTTTGGGGGAAAAAAGTAATTTGGGGGATTACTATTTTCGAGAGCTGAGGTCTTCTGCTCAAGTTCCCAGTTCACATCAGTGTGAAGCATCTTTGTTAGTAATTATATGGCTAAAAAAGAATGAGAATGAGAGCACACCTAGTGCCCAGATCTTGGTTCCAATAAAAGGAAGCAGGGCTCCTTGGATACATGATTGATTCTGGGAATGGGGCAGTAAATATACAAGATGAGCTTGGAGCATCTTGTGCCACACACACACAAAAAAAAAACCAGAAAGAAAGTGCTCAAAAAAACAAAAATAAAGCACAATGGTTGGATATGTGAAAGGGACAGAAGAACCAACTGAAGGAATTTCCAGTGACCAAAGCTAGAATAATTTGAACAAAAAATTAAGATGCATTGGAATAGAACCCAAACTTGAAAATAAATATTCATGAGTCCATACTGATAGAAATAAATGATTGAATAAATAAATACACAAATTGGAGAGAATAGACAAATCTCCCATACAAAAGAGTTTCAAATAACGTATGTAGCTACTTCCCACCCCATAAGTGTGGGTTGTGCATGGCAGCGTCTTCCAGAGTATAGCATGGAAAGGGAAGAAAAGTAACTTGACAGTGAAAAAAACCTGAGAAACACTAGCCAGGTGATGGAGATTACCATCATCGATTATAAGCCATGTTGATAGCATGCGCCCTTAATGTGACGTGGTGAGAAGTGCACTTCACCTTTGTAATCTTCCTCCTCAAAACCCATAACCCCAGTCTCATCATAAGAAAGATATCAGACAAATCCCAACAGAGGGACATTTAGCAAAATACCTGACCAGTGTTCCTTAAAACTGTCCAGTCATCAGGGACAAGGAAACCTGATAAACCCTCACGGCACAGCCAAAAAGAGCCTAAGGAGACATAACGAGTAAATGTAACGTGGTGTGCTGAATGGGACCTTGCACCAGAAAAAGGACATGTGGTGAAATCTAGGGAAATCTGAATAAAGTGTGGACGTCAGTTAATATAAACAAACAGGATGGTTTCAGTCGCCCCAAAGGGTTCTTAGAACATCTCACCTTGCGCAGTCGAGAGAACACTGGCTTGGATGTTGTAAACTCTGGCATTCAGGCCTGTCTGCCATTTGGTAGCCTTGTAACCATTAAGCAGAGCATGACTCTGCACTTTTATTGTTCCCTTTTTATAACATTGGGCTAATAAGAATTGATATTATACTTCCTTTAATATTGTTAGAAGATCCAAATGAATAATGAGTGTAAAATGCTTTGGAAGGCATATAAAGTACTAGATATAATGGGATGGTTTTAGTTAGCTCATCTCATTCTGAGATGAAATTTTAAAGGGTCAGGCATTAGAAACAAAATTGTTTCCCCTTCAGATCTAAGAGACTTGGGCATTCTGAACTAAGGCTTTGCTTATAAGAAAAAAAATGAGCAAAATGTTCATTGTTGATACCGGGGAAAAGCTTTGTTGTATAACAGGAATAGTATAATAATAATAGCTGAGGTTTATTGAGTACTTACTACATGCTGAGGTCTTTTTAAGCACTTATTTAATCCTCATTAGCCGCTCCATGAGGTAGATACTATTGTTATCCCAATTTTAGAGCCAAAAACCCTAAAGCACAAAGCAGCTCAGTGGCTTCCTCAAGGTCACACAGCTAGTACAGTGACTCCCTCTCAACACTAGAGTTCAGTGCCATGAAGTCTAAGGGGTCTGGCAAGGTTAGGAAGCGGTGGAGAATATCACTGACCGCACTCTGAGAAATCTAGATGTGTCGGACCAAGATTTATTCTTTGGGAAAGTTAAATCAGCTGCTCCTTAGAAATCAGTTGTTTTATTCCTGGAAAATGTTTTCCACTTTCTGCAAATCTATATCTGACCCACTGAGGAAATCATTTGGTGAAATGAATCCAAAAAGCAGAGAAAATGCTTCATTACTTTAAATAGCAGCACTAAGCCTGTTACAGCCTCTGAATTGTCCCTTCTTGCAATTTGAACGCTTCCAACTTAGTCATTTGGAGCTCAAGAGTACAGTTTTATATGCCCCTACTGATATCCTCATCTATTGCAGACTGTATAATTATCTGTTTTGGACTATATACGACAAAACTTTAAAACAAGATCCTATCCATATATTTCATTATTATTTAAACAACATTGTGCTGTGTTTTGTGATTCTTTTTCATCTTCTAGAATTCTTCTCTGGATCTAATAAAATAAAGACCTTCGAACACATTTCTACTGAGTCTGTATTTTTCTTTTCAAATAAACAGGAACCAGGCAAAAGCATCAGCCTTTTTTACCTTCCCACCCTAAGATACAAGAAAGAAAAGACTTCACTTATAGCCGTAATTGGGAACGTGAGTTTGTCCTGGCCTCTCATTCTTTCTCTACTTGCTCCGTGAGGTACAGATCTGGGGTCTGCCTAGGCAGGCTCTTGGAGTTCAAAGCTCAGCATCTTGGTGGTTGTGTTGTTTTAGTTAACTCTTGTGTTTCTCAATGGTCCTGGGATCTCCCAATACTAATTAATTGACATATGATATAGTCTGGGCACAACCAGATATATAGTTTGTTACTTGTAAGCTATCACTAAGAAGTATATGTTCACTGTTCTTTATTTCAGTGTATCAAGAATCTTTTGTTTCAGTCTTTTGTGAGCAAGTCTAAGTTATTTGCCTGAATTTGAGGCTCTCAATTTTAAAATGTATGTTTCTTCACTGTGCACATCTCTACGCATATTGTGAGATACTCTAGGTTGGAAAGAGAGGAAATCAACAAAATCTGGGTCTAAAATTAGCTTTGTCACCTGCTCATGGTGGGATCCTAGGCAAGTCACTTATTCTATCTGTTCTTTGGTTTCTTTTATGGAAAAATAGACATAATTATGCCTCCTTCACAGTTTTTAAATCAAATAATGTACTGTAAGTGAAAGGTTTTTACATTGTGTGGTGCTGTGTACAGGCAGCTATAAGTGGTCTGAATGAAGGAACTCTGAGACAGAGGCACTGTTGCATCATGGTTAAGAACAGGAGCTTTGGAGTGAGGCTGACTGGGATTAACTCTCATCTCTGCTACACTATAGCCCATTGTCCTTGGCAGGTGTCTTGCTCAATTACCTTCTCTTTAAATAGAGATAAAAATTCCTCACAGGGTCAATATGAGGATTAGCTAACCTAATATACAGAGGGTACCAAAAAAATGTATACACATTTTAAGAAAGGGAAACTATTAAAATTGTAATACTCAATATATACCGATAACAGAAGATGAATACAAGCCATGTATATACATTTTTTGGGCACTTCTGGTATATACTTAGTGCAATGTATGAGTACGAGTATAGTAAATGGTAGTTTGGATGATGGTTGTGATGGTGATTATAAGAAATCACCAGATGTGAAATCACCAATTAGAGTTTGGCTGTTTCTTTGAACTAAGGACAAAGCTGTAGGAACATAGTGATGAAAATAATCATCAGTTTTAGTCTATGTATCATCTTGGTCCCCTAAAATAACTTACTCCAAGCTATGTTTTTTGTAAGAGCTCTCAGAAAAATGATTCTCTCTGTCCCTCTAATTCCAGCAGCATTACCTCAGCACTTCTGGGAAAGCTTATGAGACTTCTCCCTATTCCCCGAGTGCCCCTAGGGAAATTTGATTAGAAGACTTTGTTGATCTAGGAAAGTGGGTGATTATATTAAGCTTTGCTTTGTCTGTGTATGACCATAAGCTGATACTTCTGACGATGTAAAGAATGACAGACAAAATGAGGAATTAAGGAAACAATTTCTCATTTGTCTTCATTTTCACAACAGTACAACTAAAGATTTAGTAATAAGAGTGTCCTTGTAAAAACAAGTTCCTCCAATCCTGCCTTCCCTGTTCCCTCCTGAGCTAAACTGCTCAGGTCCAGCATTTTCTCTGCACAAATGAAGAGCCCACTTCCTAGCATTATGGTCCTTTCTGAGTCTCTCTGCAAAATCACTTATACTGTAATTCCCATTCCTTTGGGATCTCTAAATAATTCTTTGAACTTGAGCCTCATGGGAAAGACCCACAGATTGTACTGGTATATCAGGCCCCAAATTGCCTGTGGCATAATGCCAACATCCAGGATAGCTGGTTCTGTTATTGGATGTAACTACAGGCTATAGCGCTATCAAGATGCCGAACACGTCCAACTAGCATCCAATATGAATTCTGTATTTCATTTCTTCAGGGACGCAATTTGTCTCTAGTTATTGCTCTAAAATCAGTGCTCGCTCCTGCCCCCAGAAACCCATATCTTAACTGTTGGCTTTAAGAGCGGGAATCTTGAAAGGCTTGAGTTTTCAAGAGTCAAGTTAAGGGCAGCCTTAATTTAGCAGAAGGCCCTGCAGAAGGATGCCAGGGGATTCCCACTATACCACTCAGGTTACCCTTTTGAAATAAAGCACCGCTGATGACATAGCTTTAGTTGAAGGTCAGACCGTGGGGATCCTTAACCTGTATGTCACATTTGCTTCTCAGATGACGCAACTGCTTAGAAAACACAGCAACATCATAGGAAGAGCATTTTCCTCTCAGCATGAAGGCTCTCAAGCAGTGTGTTCAATTTGGAGAACTGTCTGTTCAGGGCTTCAATACAGAGAGGTAAAATATTCCATCTAGTGGTCAAAGAAGAAAAGGGGAGCTGAGAAGATTCCAGGAAGCGGTGTGTGGGGCAAAGTGATAGCACAGTGGCCTTTCAGTGGGTGTCTTTCCCTGAACACGATAGGACCTGGCCTTGGTGGTGGTGATGTTTTTTGAGTATGCCTGTACTAGATGAGGAATCTGGGGCACCGTCCTTACAAAGCCGTTCAACAGAACTCTGTTGTCCCAGAGAACAGCTCTCCTGTTGGCAGGTTATGAACAACCTGACTGTGAAGGGAGGCCTTCTCCCATCCCCACCCTTAGGGAAGAAGAAATGAAACCAATCATTCATTAAACTTGTTTGTCTTGTGGCTGAATTTGTGAACATGTGAGTTTGAGAAAGACAAAGGTGGAATGTGAACTTTAAAGGGAGAGTCAGTCTAGCAAAGGATCAGAAACGAATGTTACTCAAGATGATCAGGAAATGGACAAAGCGCTCTTTATGTACCAGTAACTGCCTTCTTCACACCCTTGATGTTAGTAAAAGTTGACCAAATTGACTTTCCAGGAAATTCTCAAGTTGCAGGTAATAATGTGATTGACCTGGCACCCACAGTGATGGTGACGTCTTTCTGACTGGAATCTTCTAACTAACTTCCTCATACTCTCAACAAAAAGGTCCATTGTCCCTCCTCTTCACCTCTCGTTATCAGCTCCTTTTCCACAGTTCTGGAGAAGAGTCATAGAGCAATAATACAATTCACATTTCCTGCAATTCTACCTGCCACCGCAGACCTTGACCAGGGCCTGCCTACCAGACGGTAGTTAGGGTGTCCCCTTGATCAGAGCCTCCCTCTCCCAAGGCTGTGTGTGCTACCGGCTCCTCTGCCCCACCTGCAGTTTGGTATCATTCCTCTATCCTGTCAAGGAAGAAGACACAGAGAGCTTGGCCATTTGCACACCTGCCCTTTATTGGACTCAGCCAGCAGGCTGGCTCAGGGCCCTTCACACATCTCAGACACCGCCCATACAGGTTTAGGAAGGTACCATCATTCTGTGAAGGCCCAGAGCCCACCCAAGTCTTGGAGGCCCCAGTTGAATCCCCAACTGGAAGGTTGAGGGAGAAAAAGGAAACAGGCAGATCGGAAAAGCAAGGCTCTTCAATGAAGGGGACTGATCTCAAGGGAAGGCTCAGGTCCAGTCGTGTCTGCTGAGGGCACACTGAATCCTAAGGAAAGATACTCAGGGGCTGGATAGGGTAGATCTGTGTGCTGAGCAGCTCGTGTCTATATGGCAACTTTCAGGAGGCGCTTGATGTCAGGCTCAATGTTGACGGTAGGGAAGGTGCGGCTGTAGCGTCGGAAGGGCTCCCCCTCCGGCCCAACAAGGAACTTCTCAAAGTTCCAGGCCACATCTGAGCGGCGCACCGGGCTCCAAATGACGAACTTGGGATCGGTCATGAGAGAAAATGGGTCGTCATAAGGGTAGGGGAGCTTGTCCTTCAGGTAGGCGAAGACGGGATGCTCGTTCTGACCGTTCACCTCACACTTTTGGATAAGGGTAAAGGTGGGCTGGAATCCACCCCCAGGGCGGACATACTTGAGACTGTTCAGGATCTCCTCATTCTGACAGTTCTCCTGGGGGAGGAAAAAGACAAAGAGCATGGAAAAGGGAGGGGGGAAATGAAGGGTCCACAACATGCACATCTTTCACCTTCCATACTCCCGTCCCAGGATCATCCTTTTCTTTTCTTTTTTAAATTAAAGTTAATTGGGGTGGCAATTGTTAGTAAAGTTACATAGGTTTCAGATGTACAATTCTGTAATACATCATCTATGCATCACATTGTCTGTTCACCACCCAGAGTCAGTTCTCCTTCCATCACCATATATTTGGGGTCGTTCTTTTCTATGTATCTTTTACTTTTTTCTCCTCAGTTCCTCTTCTTCCCTTCTTCATTTGCTTTGCCCTACTATTGACTTGGAGCCTTCCCTCTCACAGCTATTGATGTTTTACTAGGCCATGTCTAAAAGTTCTTGCAGTTCCTTGCTTGGCTGTTCTTATACTGAAAGATTTAGCATTTTTGAGTTGTTTCTCTCTCCAATCCACCCTGAGCAGTTCTTAGGGTATCTGTCTGAAGCTTCAAGGAACCTTAAGTTCAGGGCAGTAGAAGGGGAAAGGAGGCTCAGGTCATACTCCTTCTGCTTATACAAACACACACACAAGCACGCGCACACATGCATGCACACGCGCACACACACACACACACACACACACACACACACACACACAGCCACCACCTTCCCTTTTCCTCTGCCCTGTTTTTGCCTCTGTTGCTTCTAATTACATGTGAGAGTTGAGGCCTTTGCTCTCCCTTACTTAGCTCCTCAAACTAAGGGTGAAATGGAGGCCTAGAGGAATGGAATTTATAGCTTCTTGCTTTCGTCTTGCCTTGTCCTAGATCTGAAGTGCTAGTAAGAGGAAGCTCTGATGAAGGAAGACCCCATCCAAGGAAATTTAGTTTTCAGGTGCCACAAAGGCAAAGTAAGTTAGAGTCATCAATGGATGTATTCTGAATGTAATTACTTAGTGACTAACAGGGATGAATTAAATAGGATAGAGGGTTTAGGGTTCTGGAATAGGCCAGGGGAAGGGGAAGTTAAGGAAATTAAGTGCTTGAGGGCTAAAGGTTGTAAATGTGTAATTATCATTCCTTTCACTTCTAGATTGCCATCCCAAGACTCCTATACCTCACACTCACTCACTGTACTCAGCTATGAATGCTTTAGCTCTGAACGTGTGACCTGTCTTTCCCTCCCCGCTGCCATCACTGTTCTGTCCCCACTCAGCATTCACCACCCCTGACATCCCCAAAAGGCCCATGGAAACCCTCATTTTCCACCTGACCCCCCAAATGTAAGAGTCAGATATTGCCCTCTGGGAGAAAGTTCCTGTCTCTGACCTACTAGAGCCAATTAGTACAGTCAGTTCTAGTCCTTCATGATATCTTGAGCCCAGAGTTGATCTCTATTAGACTTCTTATCTCTTAATGCAAATGGCTAGCTGGCTACTGGTAGGTTATGGACTCCGTCCAGCAACTAGCTAGCCTGAAGTGATGATGTAAGGCTGGAGGCATCTGTGGGTCCAGAAAGAGGTTTTGCCCTTTCTATCTCTCCTGCTTTGGCGAAGTCTAAAACCAGACTGAGAAGGAGGGACAGTGAGGGCAGCAATTGTTTGGGCTCAGGTTTGTCACAGCAGATGACACGTCAGTCTTCCTGCATATATCTCTGCTTATCTCTTCGTTGCCTTCATGCCATTGTGCATTGAAGTAAGTGGATTATAATTAGAGGGTTTATTTAAGGATATTCTGCCTGCTTATGCTGTTAATAAGTGAAAAGAGAACAATCCCTGAAAGATTACTCGAGGCACATGGGCTGAAACTCTAACAATATGACCCATTAATCAGAGACAGAGGTGCATGTGATGCTCAGAGGAGACACACACACACACTGCACACCCTTAGCCTGCCCCCAAATCACTCTCCACTTGGCCGATTTCAAACAAACAAACACCTTCAATCTAAATTAAAAAGTTGCTTGCATTTGCATATTACTTTATGTTTTTCAAGTTACTTTTGCATATCTTATCCTTGGAACCTCACAATAATCCTATGAGATAAGTGGTACTATCCCCAACTTATAGATGAGGAAACTAACAGAAAATTTGAGTGACTCTTCCTGGGGCACAGAGCCATTAAATAGCAGAACCAAGTCTGGCTAGAACTAAGGTCTCCTGAGTCAGTTCAATTCTAGTTTAATTATTGATCTTCTATTTCCTCCTCTCACTCATTCAGCAAATATTTAACGAGTGTCTTTCATACCCTAGGCACTGATGACACAATGGAGAGAAAAACAGACCTGGTACCAGCCCTCATGGAGGATAGTGGGAAGACAATCAACAATAAAAATCCACACCCTCAGTCTTTAATCACAGACAGTTAGAATCAAATATACTTCCCCTTGGTAATCACATGTACCCGAGACCTAGATTAACAAAACATACCCCACAATTCCAGACACTCCAACACTCATAGTCGTTCTCCCCTCCCCTTAGCTTACTAGACAGCCCAACTCCTTGGGTACAATACAAGGGACCCCCTCACCTGATGTCCAAATTGGTTGCAGGGGAAGCCGAGAACCACCAGGCGCCTGGGATAGCGGCATTGCAGCTCGTTGAGCTGGGTGAAGTCCCGGGTTGTTGTGCCTCAGAGTGAGGCCACATTCTCAATCAGCACTGCCCTGCCTCGGAATGTACCAAAATCTACTTTCTCCCCATCCAGGGTGATAGCAGTAAGGTCGTAGAAGGACTTGGCAATGTAAGCCATGATGAAAGTGCCAGGTGAGGCTGGTGGAGTGGCGTGAGCCCACTTAAGGATCTATTCAAGGGGTGGAGAGGGAGGAGGAGCCTGGAAGGGCAGGAAGGGTCCCACAATGGGGCTTTGAGCATCCCCAGGATGACTTAGCAAAAATAATCCCCACCTGCAAGTGCTGTTTGAACAAGGAGGTTGCTCCTCCTATTTACAGACTGAACAAAGCCACCTCCCTGCTCCACCCTGCTGGCAACTGGGAAGGGCCCATTTGATATCTATGAGCCGACATGAATAATTCACCTTTTGCAGGAAACCAGAGCCCCAGAGGTCGCCAGGGAGGAAAAAAAGGGAGGGAGGGATGCAGGATTGACTCCTACCTGCCCCAGCAAGTTGTTTTCACTTGGCACAGACATTTATTGAGTGCCTGCTGAGTGCCAAGCTCTGAATTGTGCGGTGGAGAGGTCAGGGTCTGCTGAGATCTGAAAGATGAGGAAGAGAATTGGGGCACGTGTCCTTTTGACTCAGACTGCAACTGAAATATACATATTACTGTTGATAGTTTTCTTTGACTGTTGTTTTCTGCAAAATCAAAGGGACCCTTCGGAGAACAGTGTGTGATTTGGCTAAAATAATGACTTTCAGTGCCTCTTGCTTGCACCAGGCTGAGGAGATGAAGTTGTGTTTGTCTCGCAAAGTCCTTTGGTGAGTGATGTACTTGTGCTGGAGAGCACACCTGCCCTTGCTCCTGCACTGCACCGTCTCTTCTTCTATGTCAAACGAATGCAAAAAGCATCTGGAGGCTTTGCTGGAAATAAATGATAGAGATTTATTCTAGACTCTTGGAGTTTGCAAATTAGGAACATAGCTGTGGATGATATACTTATTTGCAGTTCCACTAAGGAACTTTCAGATGTCAATACCATCCAGGTTCTTAACTTCCTGGGCTCTAGAGGGTATAAAGTCTCCAAGAAAAGGTTCCAGGTTTCCTCACAGAAAGTAAATACCTTGGGTACAGTTTAACTCTCAGAAAGAGGCTCTAACTACTAAGAGAAAGGAGGCCATTTTCCAGCTTGGCCCTCCTCAGATGCAAACACAGCTTAGAACCTTCTTAGGTGTGGGATTCTGTAGGCTACAGATCCATAGGTTCAGTGTCATGGCCAAGCCGCTACATGAGGCCCGAGCTGAGTCAGACACCAAACCATTAGACTGGAACTTAAAACAACAAAACGCCTTGGAAGATATTAAGCAATCTTTAACATCTGCCCCAGCCCTAAGCATACCTGACCTCAGCACACCTTTCATACTTTCACTGTAGAGAAGCAGGGAGCGGCATTAGGGATACTGACGCAGCCACTTGGACGAGATCTCTGGCCAGTTGCTTACTTCCCCAACAGCTGGATTCTGTAGCCAAGGGGTGGCCAGAATGCTTAAGGGCAGTGGCTGCCACAGCCCACCTTGTGGAAGAAGCCACCAAGGTAACCCTGGGAATGCCACCAGAGGTGAGGACTCCCCACCAGGTGCAAGGAGTCCTGGAGACTCAAGGCCATGATTGGCTCCTGGGAGGCCACCTTACCAAGTATCAGGCACTCCTACTAGACTCTCCAGAAATCACCCTTAAGACATACCGAACTCTTAACCTGGATACCCTGGTGCCTCTAGGCCTTTGTTGCTATAATACTACTGTTAATATTTGGACCATGTCTCTTGAAGCTCCTTGTCGAGTTTGTATCTTCTAGGATCCAGCAGTTTCATCTCCAGGTGGTCATCCACCAAGGATGCCAACTCCTCTTTCCTGAGGATAGCAAAGCATGCCAGCAGCCTCTCCATCAAGCGGCCCAGTCTTCTAACTCCCTCACGACTAAGCCTTCTACCACTCCCTAGATCCTCCGTACCCCGCCCTGCTGCATAGAATAGCAAGAAACTCTGGTGCCCACAGGTTGGAACAACGCCCCTGTTCAGCAGGAAGCATTTTTAGAGGAGGGACCTTCGTCCCAAAATCCCCTGTAAGATTACAAGGGTCCAGGTTTCTTGAGGAGGGGATCTTACCATAGGCAGAAAGAATAGGGCTGTGGGGAGAGAGGCGGGAGGAAGGTAGGAGGAAATATGGGAAAACGAAGGAGGGAGGAGATGAGATCATTCTTAAGAAAAGGTGCGGCTACCAGACTGGCCAGAACTAGATATGGGTGGCTGAGAGCCAGGACGCCATCTTGCCCCTCAAGGTGAACTTTAGCTAACTATAATGGGTTCTAATATTATTAGCATTACAGGCAGGCAAAATCTCCAGTCCCTGTGTTCGCCATGACAGTTCCAAGAAAGGCCAAATAAGGACAAGAGAATTCTATTTCCCGATGGGAAGGAGTGGTCAGTGAGGACCCACCTAAGAATGCCTAGAACGTCACCCCTAAATGTTGAATATTTTGCACCCTCATTTTGAAAATAATAAATTCCTAGGCTTCTTTTTTCTTTGGGGCAGTTGCTCTTCTCCTGGCCTGCCCACTCCCACTATTTTGGGAGTGTACTGTCCTCTTTTCTTCTAATAAATCCACTGCTTGCTTGGCTTATTCAGTGCATCCTTAAAATCTTTCCTGTGATGATACCAAGAAGCCATTTTTAGGCAACACAGCTAGGCAAAAAAACAGAGGGATTCCAAAGAAGAAAGTAAGCTAGAAGTTCTTATAGTAAAAAGTACATTCTTGAGAATTATTAGTCATGCATTTTTAGCCCTAGGATTGGTCCAGAACGGTTATCAGTCAGATGTCAGGCAGTCAGAATGATGGGTGTCAGGTGGTCCAGAAGATGGGTGCCAAAGGTCTGGTCACATCCTGATGGTCTGGATAATGGTAATCAGGTGGATGTATATGTAGGTCCTTCAGGGGATAACTACAGGATTACCTGGAAGTCCAGATGTATATCCAGGCATTGATGCAGGACTGCAGAGTTCAAAAAAGTTTACATTCCCAGACTAGTCAGGATGCAATCAGTTATGGCCAGGGTAACATAGAGGAGCAGTCACAGAGCAGATGGATAAACTCTGAAGGGATGAGTGACACTTACCTCTTCTCAGACAAAGGCTCAGTCTCAAAGACTTAGTAGAGGGGTTGCACTGGTCATTCCCCACAGAAGGAAGCATGAAGGGAGTCGAAGCTGCTATGGTTCTAGACCCAGCTGGGCTACCCATGATGTTTTCAACTACAGCCATGCAGTGTATTGTAAGACATCTGGGACCTGCTAAGGGCTATCATGGGACCACACCCTTGGAAGGCTACAGAAACTTGAAAGACCTAATGCTTCACTTCATTCTCCCAAGCACCCACCAACTCAACAAATCACTTTTTTTTTTTTTTTAATGCTTGGATTTCTCCATCAGTAAAACTTGGCAGTTAGGCTTTACCTGGCTTTGGGATTTTAGAGTGAAATTTCAGTAACAATGCAAATGTTTACTAGAGACTGTTTTCACAGTCACATGCTCATTGGGAACTGTCTCCTGGAACAAATAAGCAAGGCTGGCAGCAGCTGGGCTTGAGAATCTGATCTGTTGAGACGATGGAGAATTACTCACCAGGGAGTGAGTGCCTAGTTTTTCTGTCTTTTGTAGCCTGTCCCATGGCTGTATATAGCACATGGGAACCCAAGTCTCAACTGTCTGCTCCCTAAAAACAAGCCTCCATTACCTAAGTGGGAATGGAATCTTTGGCCAGTAGAAGAGGCAGCAGGAAATGTAGTGTGAAGTGTGTCCCCTGCTGAGCTGGATGGAGTTCCTAGAAGCAGCCAATAAATGTCCCTACTAATCCACTAAGTCAGGAGGACTTGGCCTTGACATGGGCTAAACTTTAACATGAACTTGCCAGATTTACGTGCATACCTAGAGCTTCCCCAGAATTCTCTCGGCTTCCAGACACCTCTTATTGGCTGCCCTTCTGTGACCCCTCTCCAGAAAGGCCATGAAATTTCCTGAGCTAAGGAGTGGGGTTCCCTCTTCCTTAGGTACATGCCATCCCTTTTCTCCAGCTACATCCTAGGGTGCTTTGAGTCACCCAGGTTTTCACCTTTCACGATTGAATAAAATTGATGAGGCTCTCCTAAAATTCCTTTGTCCAACTTGACCTCAAACTGACCTACCTTCCAGCTTATAACTTTGTGACATGCACTAAATGTGTGATGCCCAGGGCTTTCCACAGGGATAATTGTTGTTCTGGAAACTGTGCTGGCCTCGCATGCAGAAAGCTTTGGTTTGTGGTTCTCAACTCTGGTTGCAAATGAGAATTGCTTCTAAAGAGTTTTCTAGAGAGGGAAAAGTTTTCTGCTCCAGATAGTTCAATTCAGTTTTTAGCCATGACCCTGCCACTGCTACTTGGGGCCCTTAGGCACTTGTTTCCTTATCTCTTGAACTTGGATAATCACCCTCATTTCAATCGGATATGATTGGTGGTATAAAGGAAATAAATGATTACAATCATGCTGTAAAGTGCAGATTAAGATCTTAGGTCACCATTGCCTTGCTTTTATTCCCTCCTCCTTCATTCTATCCTTACCCCCATTCTCTGCCTCTTCCATCAACCCCACACCCTATATTGAAGTATTCAACAGCACTGCCCCCTCCCCACCCCTGAAATTCCAGTTTGCCTTGCTCCCCTGGGCTAGGATGAACTTCTGCAAGATGACTTAGTCCATCTTCATGCCTTCAGGAAGACCTGTTCCTGTTCCATCCCAGGCAGGTGAGAACCTTCTTAGCTTTATAGCCTCCCTCAGATCTTCAGCATCACCCCAAATGGCTGCTCAGTCTTATTTCCGCAGTGTAAGGCCCCTGCAGAGCAAGGGGGCCTTCACTCGGTGCTCCCCTGCAGGTGGCATTAGGAAAGGTACAAAATGGGAGACGTTGGCCTTCCATTGTCATTCTACTGCCATTGCTTTAGGGTTCGAAAGCCTCTCCCCCTTCCCCGTAACTGCCAGGGTCCAAGTGAAGCCTACTCTCAGGGACTCATTCAGCCACACTTGTGGTTCGAAATATTCTTTATTTTGTAAACATCTGTGTTTAAAAGAGATGAACCCTGCTCACAACTCATATACTGGACCCGAGACACAGCACACAAAGTTCACCCATCACAGGGAGATGGTGGGGGCTCAGGAGCAGGTGAGGGTGTGGGGCTGGTCTGAGTCTCGGGACAGCAGGTGCAGACGCGATGAAGAGTAAACAGGCAGGAGCGCCTGCTCAACAGTCTGGGCCGAATCCCAAATCCCAGGCCACCTCCTGGACTGGAGAAGTTTAGGGGTGAGAGGCTGACTTGTACCTGGTAAGCACAACTATACCCTCACGTCCCAGCCCTCCTGCTCCCTTACCTTTCCCCAGCTGTGGCCCTTGTAGACGGAGCTAACCAGGCCATAGAATCCCATGTTTTTTCCCTTCTGGAACCCTTTGAGTACAGTTAAAAATGGAGTCCCTCTGTTCTGAGGGGGCTGGGAAAGGCAATGATGCTCTGCCTAATCACCAGGGAAAGCTGCAGTACTGACCCACAGATTGCAGCCAAAGCAAATGTAACGTCCCCTTTCTGAAGGCCCAGCTGAGGAGGCCGGGGGATTGGCATTACTGACCTCGCCACCCCAATGCGATGCCCCATGTGCCCCGCCAGCTAAGCACTTAGGCCTCAAGGAAGCATCGTGAACCAGAGTCATGATTTACTTCGACTCGGCTCTCTAAGTTTCTCATTAGCCAGTAACTTACAACTATTCCTGTCCTCCTTTTCCTTCCATTATGCTAACCCATCCTCTCTTCCTACATCCTGAGCCACCCTCTCCTGCTGTCTCCTGTGTTGATAAGAGTCTGGAGGAAAGGTTTGGTGATTTCATCCCCCCCCCCCTTTTGGAGGAGTAAGGAAGTGGGGCTCTTAATCCTTCACGTGTGTCCCCTGGATTTTGGTCCTTAGTTGGTGCATGCTCAATGCCACGTTATTTGTTTTAGCTCCAGCCCCAGCCAAGCAATGTGGCTATTATAATATGTAGCTTAAGAATGATCCTCCTACTGAGGAAGGTGGGAAGGAGCCCTACTAGGGCTGGTAACTGACTTGTCCCTTCCTTAAAGGGCCTCCTTCAAGCTACTCTTGGACCATAAGGAGTTAAAGAAACTTCACAGTGTGGTTGGCAAACCCTCAAGCCTTCTCCTCAAGAGCTAGAGGAGCAAGATGAGCGCATCGTCTTGAAGGCTGAAGAGAACACCGACCATTCCCACCCAGGGCCTGCTTCCCTCCTTCCCATGAAGCCCCTGCTCTTCTCCCACAAACTTCGCATCTCAGGAAAACTTTGAGAGCTGAAGGCTGGGCCCACCAACGTGATTATGTCACCTCTTACCTGCCAGGAAACGTGGGGAAATGCTCTTCTTACACAAGGAATGGAAGGTGGGGCCCAGGCAGCCCTGCTGTTGCCACATTCCCCTCTAGTTTGCAAACTGCTGCCCTGGCCTGCTCTCCTTTGCTCTTAACCCCATCTTTAGGAGCCAGTCTTTTATTTCCAAATGCCCCCCTTTCTGGGCGTGCGCGGTGGGCTTGTGGCACTCCCCTGGGGTCTTCTTGCCCCTGCAGTGCCCTCAGACCTTGGTGCACACTTTAAATTCAGGAGCCAAGGTGGGGGAGAAATTGTGTACACGCTGTGTGGGAGGTAGAGAATGGAGGTGGCTTTTTATCCCTGCCACCCCTCATCATTTTTTTTTTTTTTTCCTGGTCTGAAGCACCTGCCTCTGTGCTCCGCTCCCCCAAGAGGCAGGTGGGCAGGCAGCCAAGCAAGGCAAAAGCTGGGTAGGGCGGGGCAGGGACAGGTAGGGCAGCCCCAGGCCAAGGAGCACTGTGGCGTTTCCTTCCCACCTTGATGTTCCGCTTTCCCAGATTGTTGATGAGGCAGGCCCATGGCACAAGGAAGGGTGGGGAGCGGAGGCTGGGAAGAAGCACCCCGTGGCCTGTGGCCCACCTGCAGAGCAGGGCGGGCGTTCTCTCAGGAGCAGAGATGGAACGTCTCCATGAGCCTGAGTCCATTCCCTTGGACAGGGTTAGGAAGAAAGGAGAGAAAGAAACTGCACCAGCAGCCACACAGCCGGACATACAGGGCAAGGGGCGTGAGAGGCTTTGATACAAAACACACTGGAGAGGAAGGGGGCAAAGAAAGAGAAGTGGGAAGAAGAGAGAAAAAGCAGACAGGACACAAGATGCTCTGAATAGGAGCCTTAAAGTGGCCTTGACTCCAGACTCGGCCATTGTCTGGGGAGCTGGGGCGGTGAGAGTGCTTGTAGCACATCTGGTGCTCATAGCAGGCCTGCGGCTGGGGGGACTACTCCAGGGTGAGGGGCTGGGGGCAGAGGCTGCTCAGCGATGACCGTGGAGCTGCTCTGGGGCCAGGCAAGCGGGGGAGCAGCTACTGATATTCCACAGGGTCGCCCGAGTGAGAGGAGAAGTGGGCAAAGCCCAGACTCTCTGTCTGCCCGCAGGCCTGAGGGGAGGAGGGATTGTGTGGGTGCTCCATGCGGGACCCTCAGCACCAGCAGGTTTTTGAAGAGTTCGCTGGGCCCTCAGGTTTGCTCTCATCCTCCTCGAGCTCTGCCAATGCCAACTCATTGCTGGCGCGTGTCCGGAGACCATCCAGCTCCTTCCTGTGGGCCTGCAGCACCAGCTCTGTCAGACGCGTGAAAGACTGGGAAACCAAGGGGCACAGGTTAGTCCAGCGTTTCCTCCTCTTCCCCTCCAACCCTGTAACTGCCCAAGGGGTGAGGCCTCATCTTATCTCGGCTCCTATCTGTTACCTCCTCTTCTCGCTTCCCCACTCTAGACTCAGCCAGAGGCAAAGGGCGACAGGGCTTCAGAGCTCTCACCTCTTTAATGTTGAGGTTGGTGCAGGCACTTGTTTCATAGAAGTCCATGCCATATTCCTTAGCCAGCTGCAAGAGAAGAACATTCCTGAAAGGGAATCAGTAAGGGAAGGGAGGTGCCCACAGCACATGGCACATACTTCTGCCATTGCCCTCACAGCCCATGCTGGGTTGTGACTTCTCAGATGAGACTAAGCTCCTTCTAAGACATAGGCTAGCAGAGAAGGGAAGATGCCCCACAAATACACACCCCCCACCCCCACCCACCTACCCACAGACACACATGCATACCCAACACACACATCATCTATCAGGAGACAAAGACACCAAAACGTTGTGGCAATATGGCAAACCAATGTAAAACCTGGGCTTTGGAGTCCAAGAAACCTGGACTTGAATATCAGTGCTGCCACTTAACAGCTGTACAACTTAAACAAGATATTTATTTTCTCTAAGCCCCAGCTTTGTCATCTGTTAAAGGGAGATGAGGGTGTCTATCAGCTAAGGTTGTGGAATGAATAAATGGGGTCACGCCTCTCCAAGCACTTGCTTAGCACAGGGCCACATGAGGCGCTTAATAAATACTATGATTCCAGTAGGGTCTGCCTCTACTTTCAAATTTTTCAATGACTGTGTATTATTTTTTAATACCAAAAAATCAATTTCATCTTAAGTGCTAGTGGAATGCTATTGACTGAGGAAGGCGAGGAAAGCTCTTGAGGCCCTCAGAGTGGGTGGATGACTATTGTCTCAGCAGTATTCATCTTCCTTTCTGTTCTCTGGGAAGATGGTCTCCCTGTATGCTTGGACATTCCCTCAGCACCATGAGGGAATTCCTACCCTCTCTGCCCCCAGGGCTTCTCTGACTGTGGGCCCTTCATTCCCTCACTTTCCTTCCTGCCTCTTTCCAAGGGTAAGGAGGACAGGGAGTGGGAGTGGAGGGGGTGGATGACTGTAAGACGGTAGCTATTCCTGAATGCTGTTTGGGAAGAAGTCATCGACTTGCAGTCTGTCCTCATCACTAACACTGGGATGAGCTCTTAAGCAGAGGGAATCCTGTTTTAGGGGACTTGGAGCTGGGAGAGTTGCTGCTCAAGGGGTCTTTGTTTCTGGATGTCCCCCAAATCACTGTCCTGAAGGACAGAAAACAAACGCTCAAGGACAGCAACTCACGCGGTGTCTTAGGCTACTGTAGGAAGTGTAAGGGTGCCTGATGGTGGTGATGGAATCCTCCTGGGTCCCGACTCTCAGGACTGGCCCCGCAAGGCAGCGGAAAGCCCAGGGCTGGACTCGGCCAGCTCACTCCCACCTACCTGCTGCCCTTGCTCTGTGCCCACCTGCCGCTTCTGCTCTTCATCGGCCTTGTTCCCGATAAGGATCTTCTGGACACCTTCTGGTGCGTACTAGGGACAAAGGACAGACAGAGCTGCCCGTGAGTGCTGCCTTTCCCTCCCATCTCCCCACCATACAGTATACACCGGCCTCCACAATAACACCAAATTCAAGAGCCCTAGGGACAGAGCAGGCTGAAGGGGTGCAGGTGCCAGGCTCCTCCAAGAACCGTGGCTGACCCTAGGGGTCCCAGGAGAATGTCATGGGGACAGCTTAGGGGAGGAGACACTCTGGCTAATTCTGGTGCTTCCTTGGGTTAGACAACTGGTATCTGAACTGGAAAGGACACTGGACTTAAGTCCAACCCTTCATTCTACAGATAAGGAACGGTGGAGACTCAAGACATTCAAGTTGCTTGCCCAAGGCTCCACAGCTATCATGGCAGAGCCAGGACTAGAATTCCACGTGGTCCCAAGACTTCAAGAAGCAAGCTGTTCACAGCACAGGCTTTGACCTAACTCATTTCCAGGGAAGAAACAGATACGGAGGCCCGGCAGGGTATAGAGCATGGCAGCTTGAGTTTTCCCCCCACGTCTTACTCACCCAGAGGTCTTCATCCAGGGCTGTGGAAGGCAAGGTTTCCTGGTAGCTTTTGCTCACCAACCCCGAGAACTTCAGCCTCTGCCCTCTGGCCCTTACTTTGCCTTCCCCTCCGAGGTGCCCTCCCCCAACCCCGACAGTGAGGCCGCATCTCCTACCTCATCCACATCACTGACCCACTTCATGATGTGCTGGTAGGAGCGCTCGCTACTAATGTCGTAGACTAAAAATATTCCCTGAGGGAGAGAGAAAAGGAGGTATGGGGCAGGTAGACACACCTTAAATGCTGGGCCCCACTCCCCCTGCTCCCCGATTAGCATGAGGACCCCTTAGCACCCAGAAACGTCTCTTTCTCTCTCAGACCCCCAAAGATCTTGCTTCCTAGGCCTACCACAGAACCCTCTGAGGCAGGCTGGCACCAAATACTTCGACCTGGGTCTTTGGCCCAGGGTGGAGGATCTGCCTGGAGTGAGTGCTCAGAGACTAACTGATGAATGGATGGTCCACGAACAACTGAAAGCCTGCCCTGAGGCTCCCCTCCGCAGCAGGCAATCTGAGGGCCCTGTGTGTGGGGGTCAGTGGCACAGATATCTCAAACATCCAGAGCCAGGCCTGTGGGTGGCAGCACCCCACCTCTGAACCCTTAAAATGGTGGCTCACCTGGGCCCGTCGATAGTACTGCTTTGTGATGGTCTGATATCTCTCCTGCCCCGCTGTGTCCCTGCAGTAGAAAGCCAGTCCCTCAGAAAAGCCGAGGAGCATGGAAGCAGGTGGGGAGGGGAAGAGCAGGAGCTGGGGGACCCTGTGCCCGTGCATGAAAAACTGGGGAGCTGCAGGGTGAAAAATCAGTAGAGCTTTAGTCCCCAAGAGGATGCAAGCATATCTGACTCTGAGGGAGAGCGATCTCATCATCGGATCCTAACAGGGCTTATGGGGCCTTGGCAGCTGCACACCTGTAAGTGGGCCGTGGACAGCTCTCTCTGGAATTTGGCCACTGTGGCCAGACTGGTTGGATCGCTCCACCTCCAGTTCCTATGGGACCTCTGAAGGTAATACACGTGTCATTCTGAAATTGGGAGATAGCTCCACATGCTGGCAGAGGCAGTGAGTGCTTCCAGGATCCGCAGGCCAGAGAGCCATAGTAGCCCCCTGTGGCTACTTGTGGGAATTGCACCGTGCTGCACTGAGGAACTCTCCCCAGTGGCCCACCCTAAATGGTGGGGTGTAGCCCTTGCTCCTTCCAATCCTACTACCGTGCAGCATAGCTCAAGGACAAAGCCTTATTTAAGACAAACCCACAGTGGTTAGTTTGCCAATTCCTTCTAAGTCATGGCTTCTGGTGACTTGGTTAATCCCATAAAGTTTCCTAAGAAAGAGATGGGAGATTCAGACTCATGGGAGCAAGGGGTAGCCAGTTGTCCCAGATGAAGCCTCAGGATTTTACACATGGCAGTGGCAGCTAGGGAGCAGCCCAAGGTCCTCTCCTCCCACCCAACTCACCAAATCTGTATCCGCACTTTGATGCCATCTACCTCTATGGTCTTCATCTTAAAGTCAACACCTGGGGAAAGGAAGAGAGCAAGAACGTCAGGAAGGACAGTGGCTGAGAACTGAACAATAAGGCCCAGGACACTCACACTGGAAGGGATCTCCTTTGGTTTAATTTGGCGGAAAGAAGGCATGAGGTAAGGGCCTCGGTGAGCCAAAAACCGACCCTAAGGAAGTGTCTGGTACTTTGAATGGGGTTTCCCTTCTTCCTTGAGCTGAAAGTTGCCAGCAGTAAAGGGCTTGGGGGCACCGGGAGGGAATATGAGTGAACATGGGGGAGTCCATTCCATCACTGTCTCACTTAGTCCCAAACGTGTCTCACTCTATTCACATGTGATGTCTTTCTAGTTATACTTCCAGAGAGAACCGCTGTATTGTTCCCCTCCTGGAAGTCTAACTCCTAGGAACAGCCACCCGCTTTATGGGCCTGGGTTTTTCTCCTCTGCCTTATTAACAACCAGGAGGGGTTGCAGCCCTGCCGTGAATGTGGGGAAGACACACGGAGCCTGGAGAGAGGACTGTTTCCACCCCACGCTGTGCATGAGCCCTCTGCACCCAGAAAAGGCCACTAAGGTGAAAGCCAGTGGGCCTGTGGTTTGCTAACCCCTTTACCGTGGAAGACACTGTTGTTTACAAGAAGGAGGTTGGGCTTTGACGTCAGGCCTGAGCTTGAGTCCTGATTCCCGCCATTTAACTCACAGCTACAACGTTGGGCATCCTGCTTCTCTGAGCCTCCATTTCCTCATCAGTAAAATGGGGAACATTACCAATCATTTCAGAGGGTCGCTGAGAAGACCAAGTGAGATCGAGCGCCTGGCACCCGGTGGCTATTCAATCGATTGGAGCTATCATTATGCCCTAGTTCTGTGCTGGTTCACAGTGGGAGCTCATGAGTGACTACCAATGACCAGATGAAGAGGCAGTGGCACAGCGGGTTGTTGGGGGAGGGAGAGGAAGTGAACGGGGTTCTCAGGCTCTTCTGCCCAAGGGCCTGAGGAGCTAAGCTGCCATAAGACACAGGACACACAGGCATTTCGCAAACCAGCCCAGGGCAGGAAGATTCTAATTGAGAGAATTTGCAGCAAGATAAGTCAGCACCACTAGCAGCACACAGGCTTGACTCTGAGTGATGACAGGAAGATGAGGGGAGAGGCTTTTATCACCGTGCCTCTCCCCAGCCCTAACTGTGCCCAGGCATCATGCCCAGTGATTCAAGAGCTATGTCTAGTAAGTTAATTAAGCTTAGGCCTTCGTGTACTCCCTGGAGACAAGTCGCGAATGGGCATCATTAACCAGTTTTCAGGTGCAGAACACGGACAAGGCAGAGTTCTGGACTGTAGTTACCAGTCTATGCAGTACAGTTCTGAAGACCCCGAAGGTGCCAGAATTCCCCCCACCACAGCCATTCCACCAGGGTATTAGTTCTTCGCCAATGGGAATACTTTCTCCCTTATCCATCCTGTCCCCAGCTTTCTACAAATACAGGCAAATTAAGTTCAGACTCTTCCCTCTCACCAGCGAAACCAATCATAATTTAATTAGAGGGGGAAAAAGATTCAGAACGGACAACCTGAACTAAATCAAGTTGGTCAGACGTGAATCATTTTTCGCCTGACCAAGGTGATTCATATCTGTTGAGCTGTATTTTTCCAAATGGGCAATGCCTGGGAGTCATTCTCCCAAGTATGCTGAGAAAGTGAAGACAGGGAGGGTGAAAGGAGTGGGGCACCTAGCCTTGGTGGGGACAGTAGCATGCTTACCCTCTCCCTAGACAAACAGTTGTCAAGAATTTGCTTCTCCCCAAAATCTGGCATAGAAGGGAATCAAGAAATTCTTGTTTTTTTTTCATGGTTTGGTACCTTCTTCCCAGGAGAACCAGCAATTTTGTTCATTTTATAATAAGCCTAGCTCATCTTCATACTAGCCCAGCAAACCTGCTTAAGGACAGTGCCTTGTGCAAAGAGGCCACCGAGGGGTGGGGACTCGGGGTGAAGACAGAAGGCTCTATTTTCTTTATTCCATAAACTTCTATGGGAACTTACTCAGAGAGTGGCAAAAAACACATCTGGCCCCTGCCCTTACAGAACTTAGTGGAAAGGAAACAAAGGCCCAGGAGGTGAGCTAACTAGCCCAAGGTCAGCACAGCCAGTAGCAGAGGCCTGTTTGAGGCCAGAGCCCATGATACCCCTTGCACTGTTTCTTGGGGGAATGAGAGGAGAATTGTGTGTTAACTAGGCAGAGAAGTCTTAATTACACTTGGTTTCCTGTTTCTCTGTAGGTTCTTGAGAGTGGCTTCGCTGGGAGAGAAGCACTCAGTACTAGGAGAACTCTCCCTGAGAATGAACTTAGGCTGTTACAAGAAGCAGGACAGAGGAGAAGATACGCAACTACCCTGGGAGTGAGTGTTGGGCTTGGAGTCCTTCTCCCCTCTTCCCTTACTTCTTAGTTGTGTGGCTAGGGACCAGGACTGAGGAATTCTGGGGGCTTACAGCACCCCATCCCACCCCACCATCTTGCAACCCAGGTCCTCTTGACCATTCAATAAAATTTGTTTTAACATCTCTGAGAAGTCAAATGCTTCCATTTGGGCTCTTCATATGCACTAAGGAAGAAACAGAGAAAGGCTATGCCTTCTGAGGAGAGGTCCCATCTACTCCCCCTCTTTTTTTAAATTTAAAGATCAACAGCCCAAGGATTTTCTAGTGGAATCTATTCCTTCACTCTGCTCCCACACACCTGGACCTTCCACTGTGTCCACCCTGCCAATCAGCCCCTGGCCCACAGTGACCTGTGCCCATCCGTGGCCTCTTCCATCTCCTTGTGTAGCTGTTGGGTTTTTTCGCTGCTGAGCACTGCAGGGCAAAGTCAAAACACTGGCTTTGTTTAGTCTCCTGCAGACTCATGCTTTGTCACCTCAGCTGGGCCCTCGCAGCTGCTCAGCAAACTGTTTATTGGATGTGTGTCCACCTCTCACATTCCTCACAGTCACTGCCCTATCCTCTGAAGGCTTCAGTCCCAGTGTGTCCCCTCCCCACAGCTGAAGGCATTCAAGAGAATACCTGGTCCCCTGTCTGATGGGCAAAATGAAGGCTACCTGACGAAGCCTTTACTTTGAGGCTCACCTCATTTCCTCAGAATTTTCCTGTTTCCTCCCCCTCCCCCTGGGAAGAGTCCTCTGTCCTTCCCGAGTCTCCCCTCTCAGCTGTTCTCACCAGCCTCCTCCGGGTGCACATCCTAACAATTGCGCTCCTCTATGTTGCAGAATCTAAGGGAAGAGGAGAGATTTCTTCTCTCCTCGCAGTGTGTTCTCATCTTGGCTCCTCCAAGGCAGCACTCCTCAAACTTGAAGGTGCATGCAGATCATGGCAGGGATCGGGTTCAGATGCAGGTTCTGATCCAGCAGCTGGTAGATGAGGCCTGAGATGCAGCGTTCAGCATCCAGGTGAGGCTGACGCTACTGGTCCATGGATCACACTTTGCCAGCCACTTCTAAGACAGTGGTTCTCAAAGGGTGGTCCCTGGACCTGCAGCCTCAGCTGAGCCTTGTTAGAAATGCAAATTCTAGGCACACAAAGTTTGAGAATCACTGTCTAGCCCATGTCTAGGCAGAACCACAGCCCAGGCTCATAACAATACTGGTAATGACAGCACACCCCCTATCTAGGGAATCCAGAGCCCTCAGTTCTTATGCCAGCCCTATGAAGTGGGTAGGAGTGGAGATTATCATCGTGAGGCACAGAGAGGCCAAGGAACTTACTCATGTTCCCATATCCTATGGCTGAGCCGGAACTGGAAACCAGTCTCTTAAAACCTACCCAGGGTACTCTTCACTCAGACAGTGGCTGCCCACCTCTTCGAGGCTGTGGAACCTTCCTGCCTTATCTGTCATGTCTGGCATACCCCACCTGTTCTGGTATTAGGAGACATACAGAAGTGAGGCAGTGGGCACACGTGGGCAAGCCCACCATAACCTATTTTCAGGGAACCCTTTGCTCCTTGAGAGTTCATGATTCCACTAAGCCCAGAAGCATCACTCTGGACAGTGCCACCTCAGTGTCCCTATAAGAGAACCTTCTTGCTTTCCCAGGCACAGGGAACACTCAGGTGTGAAGAAACAAGCAAACTACTTCCACGCAGCTCCAGCAAAATTCCTGGAGACCTTGGAGCCCCTGGAGGAGAAAGTCAGGAAGATGGGGCCCTCTCCCAACCAAGTGCTGAGAGCATAGCAAGAAGCTCACCGTTTTTTTCCCAGCGCCTCAGATATGTCAATCATGGTACCTGCCACACCCAGTGTCCTTTTCTGGCTGGAACTGCCCCTCCCAGAGCCTCTGCTCAGTATGTTCTTTGCAGAGAAGCGGCTCCTGACTAGACTAGGGGTGGATATCTGACCCACAGGAGGCCCACAAAGGGCTTGCTGGTGATCCAAAGGGTGATCTGACCCAGGGGCCAAGGAAGCTAGCTAGGTTGATCAAACCAGATCCCTCCAGAGGGTGCAGGGGGGACGGGTCGGTTGGTAATGAGAGGAACATGAAGCAGAAAGATGTGCAGGGAAGCAGGGATGTCTAAGACACAAATGTGTTGGCCAGAGTGGGAACGAGGGTGCTGGATCCCAGCACAGCCACCAGCCCACACCAGAGTCAGTCTTTCAGTCCCCAGGTTATCCTTATAGCACGCCCCATTTTCTTAGAGAGTGCCTCAGGATGCCCAAAGATTCACAGCCTGTGACTGTCCAATGCTGCCTAATGGCTCCCCCAGGCTGGCGGGCAAGATGTTTCAACTACGGGGCTGGGAGGAAGACTTCTAAAACAGTGTGCCCTGCTCCTTGGTGCTTCCTCATTTTGTCTTCTAGTCCCAATAGAGTACCTAAGCGGCAGAGAATATATTTTGCATTTGACAAAATTTTTTGTTTGTTTGTCTTTAAAATCTCTGCCTCCATACTAGCACAGTGCTGGGCATAAAGTAGCAATTTCATTCGTGGCATCCCCCTGCCCCCGAGAGCATAAGGAGGGATGGGTGCCTGTGGTTCAAGAGCAGGGACGTGTGTCCTGCCATCTGAACGCCTCACAGACACTAGCAAGAAAAACTCCTCTGCTAAGTGACAGTGCCAAGTCCCAATACACGGGTGGCATCTGGCTCTTCCTGCTGTGTCCCCGGTTGTGTGGCCTCAGTTCCTCCAGCAGCAACGCCCAGCAACTGCCAGGCCACAACTGGAGGCCTGGAGCAGCAGTGACAGCTGCTGTTCGAGACCTGGGAAGATAGGCGAGGCCCTCCTCTGGGTACAGGGCGCTTGGGCAGGTCAGAGGGACAGGGCAGGGGAGCCAGCACTGGTGCTCACTTGGTTCCTAAGATATCTCGCCTTGGGCAGTAAAACAGCGACAGGCTTACTGCCTCCCCAGTCTAGCAGTGGAGGGGCTGTGAAGACTGTGGAAAGGAGGGAACAGGACACATATGGGGAAAAGAACACTCCTTACCATCACTGTCTGCCTCCACAGAAAGCCCTGGGAAGCATGGAGGAAGTGTAGTGCAAGAAACAGAGTGGCACGGCCGTTCAGAATACAGTTGTAAGGTCAGAGTGTGGGTCTCATCCTGCCTTTACCACTAATTACCTGTGTGGTCTTGGGAAAGCTATTTAACCTCTTTCTGTCTGTTTCCTCATTTGTAAAATGAGGACGACAATCCCTTATGTCAGAGAATTTTTGTAGGAACTATGAGATAAGGTAAAAAACGCATAACATGGGGCCTGGCACAAAGAGCTTTATTACATGTTAGCTGAAGAAGCTGTCAGTTCTCTGGGGGAGGGTGAGACTAGGCAGCCCAGGGTCACCGCTTAGGGAATGGAAAGAGCGCTGGGTGGCAGGAGGGGCTCATGTGGGGACAGGGGGCAGAGAGGTGAGACAAAGAGCTCCCACTGAGCTGGAGTGTTTCAACAAAAAAGAGAAAATGCCACCTACCATGGTGCCCAAATAGCTCCCGAGCCTGACTACAACCTAAATTCTGGCAAAGCTAGTGTGTGCCTATTGGTGAGCCAGCACCTCATGGGTTAATATCAGGTGCCAGCCTGCCTGCCTGCCACGTGCCACACGCTTCAAGTGGAAACAGGGCTCTTCTGGGTGCCAAATGTTATCACAGGGATCAACCACAGCCCAAAGGACCAGCAGCGTGACCTGAGCCTTTTCGTGAGCAATGAGATGCCACAACAGGAACAACTTAATACCTGAAACCCAAGGCAGACACCCAATCCCTGGAGCCATGCTGGCTCCAGTTACCAAGCCCAGGTCCCAGGAAGGCCCCAGCCCCTCCCCCACAGGAAACCAGCATGTGCTGGACATGTGGAGCTCACGTGGGTTGTGGCAGGAGGTCGTCTCCAAAAAGGCCACCCAGAGAACTCCAAGTTTAGGGAAAGGCAGATCCTGCAAGGAGGTGGCTGCCTGACTCTGCCACCCCAGACAAGGCCTCAGAGTAATCCCCGTTTCCATACCCGCTTCTCTCAGCAAGAGACCAACAGTACTATGAGACCCATTTTCCCCCAACTGAGGGACAAGTGAAGGGAATAAGACAGAGGGAGAGCTGAGAGATAAAGCTCAAAAGAAGATTCAAGACAAGGGCTCCTGGCACACATATGTCCCTCCTACAAGTTAGGTGAAGGGCTATGGGAGAGCATGTTTGCCTCAAACCTGACACTTGCTGTATCCATTTCCTTTCTTCTGTCTGGGGACTTTTAGCCTGTCTGTGGGACCACATGCCAACTGACTTCCTCCTCTTACCCAGTTGCAGACTGATTTCCCATCATGCTGTCCTCATCTTGGGGAAAAAGTGCACCCAGGTTCTCTGAGCAAATGCACTAATCAGCATTCACACCATCTTGCTCTGGGAGTGATGGGGAGCAGAAATAAAGAGGAGGCCTTGGTCTTTGGCAGACAGAGTCCTGATCCTCTAGTGCCAAGGTCATGCTTTAACCTCCAGGGCACTGGGACCAGAGGCTCTGATTCAGACACCCACCCACAAGAAAGACTGGAGATTTCAGAGTGATACTCTATACCTCCATTCTCTTTCAAGACACACAGACACACAGATACACAGACACAGACACACACAGACACACAGACACACACACACACAACCTCTACATGGAAGGACAATGGTGATATGGGGACCAGGACAACTCTGGAGGCTACCACCTTCATATAAAATCTTTAAGGGTCATTCTTCGGAAACCCCGGAACCTAGTCAAACCCAGACTTCCATGAGGCTGGAAAGAATGCCAGTTCTCAGTGCCTAAGTCCTAGGACCCCCCTATTCCAGAGCCCCTGGAAGGGGGGTGGTCCTGGAAGGTCGCTCCAGCAGCCTGGCTGAGCTGATGGCCATCATCTGACACCAGTAGTGACCCTGAGCAACAGGCAATACTGACTTTAATCTAAGACACTGACCCCTCGTCTCTTCATATACCAAAAAGGACCCAGTCACACAGGGATCATGGGAGCACTTTCATGATCTGTCCTGTGTCTGAGCTTCTCCTATGACCTGTACCTGAGTAGAAGAGCTACAAGCTACTGGAAACGGTTCACCCATTGTTGGACTCTCCCCTTCTCCTCACAGTCCCCAACACATGTGTAGCATAGTGAGTCTCTCATTGTCTTAAAAGTCCCAAGAAACCAATACTATTTGCAACTTGCCTCAGGGAAGAGCAAAAGTCCTCTAAGAAAATCCATCCATCCATCCATCCATCTATCCAAACAAACTTATTGAGTGCCTACTATGTACCTAGAACTAACCTAGATACTTGGAGACAGCAGTGAATGCAGAAAGATCCTTGTCTTCAGAGGGTTTTAATGAGTAGGGGATACAGATATTAAACAAGTAAACTAATAAATAATACCATAGAGTAATAAGTGTTAAGAGGCAAAAGCAGAACATGGAGAGTGAGGAGAATTATGTGCAAGTTGCTTCAGAGTGGCTGATCAGAGAAGACTTTTTAAAGCAGGTGACATTTTGAGCTGAGGCCTGAATGACAGGAAGGTACCAGTAGGGGGAAGATCTGAAAGATCAGGGCC